AGGAGCGGCCACAAACAACGTAGTTTGGACCAAAGACAACACAGCCCGGACTAACGAGAACATAGCCCGAGCTATAATACAGCACAGCCCGGGCTAATATACACCACATCACAACAACACATCCCGGGCCGTAGTAAGACACGGTTAACACATCCCTACCGCAGTACACACAGCACAACACAATCTTCCGTAGTGCAGCACAGCACAACACATCCCTACCGCAGTACAACGCAGCACAACACATTCCTACCGTAGTGCAGCACAGCACAACACATCCCTACGGTAGTACAGCACAAGCTACAGCACATCACATCTTTTATAACATCACTACTACTTCCACCTAAATCGTCTTCACTCTGGCTCAGCTTTTTTATCTGTGTACCTTAGATTGATCACCTCCCCCTCCCCTCCCCTCCCCTGGTTATTTTCCTCTTACAGCTGGTATATCGCAGGATTATGTTCTTACCCTTATTCTCTCTTTCTTATTTTATGCATTACTAACACTCTTTCAGTAAAGAAGGGCCGTAGAAACTCACATAAAATACAGCATCAATCTTCATTAAAAAATATGACTCCACCATCAGTCTCTCTCGAGACTTTCATAAGCATCAACTTACATTGTCAACTACTAATTCCACCTCCATCACTCACTGGGGATAACGACAAACTTTGTTGTGTTTAATACTTTTTTCTCCTTCTGAAACTTTAATATTTAACCATCTCTCGGGAACAAGGCAATTTTCAGTGGTCCTCTTGAATACAACGACACTGACACTCCCACCTCCTCCTCCTTCCCCCATAAGTATTCTGAGTCACAACACAACACAGCTTAGAACTTCCTCAAAATTGTTTCACAGAGCTTCACATTTTCCCTCGCTTGTGTTTCTTTCCTTATTATTGTGGATCTAGTTGCTCGGTTTAGGAGGAGGCGGCGAAGTCACTCACACCATAATGCCAGAGACTTCGTGATATATGACACGACAGCTTGACTCCTCACACATTCAGAGAGGTTTACCATCTTGATACTCATGGCTCATAGAATAGTTATGCCCAGATATTCATGACAGTCCAAGAAACATATGACAAGTAAGACAACTTATACCCAGATGCTTACGATACTTACACCCAGATACTCATGACAGTTACACTCGGACTTTTATGAGTTATACCCAGACACATGTGACAGTTACATCCAGATACTCATGTCAGATACTCCCAGACATTTACGACAGGTCAAAATAGTTATCCTTCAAGATTGTAAAAGTTATAGTATCGTAACGTTATCCTCTGGGGTGTGAAGTGGATAATGTTACGTCATAGAAACAGTAAGACGATAAAGTTGACAGACCAATAACTTACCAACGGATTTTCTCCTAAGATTCAATTTCCACAAGCCGAGTCTTACGTAACTCTCCTGTAAATATTGTTAACATGGGATATAATCTACCTAAATTATGTTGATGAATTGATTGAAACGAGACTCTCTATCGTGGGTAAAGAAAATACACAAATTATTAAGGTATCATGACAATATTTAGGAATTAATCAACCATTATGCGATGTTCTCTTAGAGGTTTCTATCACATTTGTAATTAGAGTAAAAGAAAAGTCCCATCCTAGTTCAGTCAAGGTCAGAGTGGCAATATGTGCGTGTGTGTATGTGTGTTGGGGTTGAGGTGGTGGTGCTGGAGAGGAGAGAACTGCCCGGGATAGTCGTCGGGGGCGGCACTTCAGCACCTCCGTCACCGTAATTGTGTCCTGGGGGTGTTTGTGGTGTGCCAGGGTCACCACTACCACCACTACCACCACTAACAATCTGAATACCCTTGGTTCTGCCCTCTTTTCTATTTCTGGCTGCGTTAGCAGGTCATAAGTCCTCTCCTGACTGATATTATTTTTCTACATTAGGGAGTTTTTTCAGGATCGTTTCATTATATACTATACCAGGGTTACACTTGGATCCACACTAACGTAGATATGACTGGTTCTTTATAATCCTTGTTTGGTCGAATATGTAGCTTTGAGACGGATTTCTGCTCATAGTTTCTTTACCTGAAAGAACATTAGAACGTAAAAATTCGATTCGAAATGATTCCGTGGCATTGATATTTTGTTCTGTGTGTGTGTGTGTGTCGCACACAAGGTGGTGAAATGCGTCTGGTGTGGCATCACTATGTTAGTATTAAGGTGCAAGTACTGCTTGCTCCCTCTCGCTTTCAGCTGCCGCCGCTGGCTAGCCCTCGTGGCGAACAGGGAAGCAACTTGCATAAGTCTTCCCCTGCCAGTACACAGCTTCTTCACCATCGGACCAAAGCTGATACCTTTGGCAAGAAGAAAGTGGCAGCCCAGCGTGAACTTCGCATTCTAAAGAATGACTGGCTTAAAAATAAAGCATGTGAAATACAAAAACATGCAGATCAGCACAAGATGCTCGAATTTTTTAATTAAATTAAAACATTTTATGGGCCAAACCACTCTTGGCGCAGCCCCCCTCCGCTCATCTGACAGTAAATTCATAATTATAGACGATGAAGTCCTCCTTCAGCGCTACAAATAGCACCACCATTCATTGCTCAACCGAAACACCGATGTTGATGTCCTGACTACCCAGCAGGTCTCAGCATCCAGAGCTGACCCACCTCAGCTATCCTCCATCCCTGGATGAGGTAGTTACTGCCACCAAACAGATGAAAAATAACAAAGCCTCAGGGACTGATGAAAACCCAGCCGAGGTGTATAAAGCAGGAGGACCGCTGCTTACCAGCTGTCTCCACTCTCTCCTGGAGAATATATGGGAAAAGGAGGAGATTCCCCAAGCTCTTAAAGACGCTTTCATTGTCAATATTTATAAGAACAAAGTAGACTGGTGAGACTGTGGCAACTACCATGGGATATCGCTGTGAGACATGGGTCACATACAGGAAGCACCTCAAAGCACTTGAAAACTTTCACCAACGTAGTGTAAGTTCCATCCTCCGAGTTTGCTGGGAAGAGAAGAGAACAAATGCCAGTATTCTTGCTGACACCAACTGTAGGAGCATCGAGGCTACCATTATCCATGAACAACTACGCTGGACTGGCCATGTTACCTGCACGGACGACAGTAGACTGCCAAAGCAGCTACTTTACAGTCACCTAACGAATAGTAAACGTAACGCCGGCTGGCATTGAAAAGGTATAAGGATAGTCTTAAGACAAACCTGAAAAAGTGCTAAATCGACCCCCTCACCTGGGAGTCGATTACTCCACATCGTAACGCTTGGAGGAGCACCACACGAGAAGGTGTCAATACTTTCGAGTTAGCCAGACTGCAAACCGAGGCAGACAAGCGCCAATGCCGGAAAGACGCTGCCACCGCCCCTCCCGCACTAGATGCAGCCCTCCACATGTGCAACGAATGTGAACGACGCTGCGGGTCCCCTATCGGCCTCTTTAGTCCCCTCAAAATTCACCAACCTAGGTGACATCCCTAATAACTCATATTGTATCATAGCTGGATGATCGTCATACTCGATTCCGAGTGACAGCAAAGTAGTAGTGTATGTGTTTTATTTAATGTTCATTTTATAAAGTCACAACAGTATGATTTTCAGCTTCAAGAAATCAAACTTTAATAAAAACAAAAACAAAAAAACACCCTTTTTCTCTTGTGAGAACAACACAGCGGAACATTCACTATGTTCTATTTTCATGTTACTTTCTGCCTTTTTAATGCGAGTTTGATTTCTAAAGCTTGACGGTAGTTGATATAGGGAAACTCCGTGTATATTTCAGAAGTTAAAAAGTCTAGCGAAAACAACATACAACAGGACTGGTAAAGGCAGTAACAACAGACCCTCCGGCCCTAACAGAGCGTCGAGCAAAAACCTGATCTGGTGGGATTGTGTCGACTTTATGATTTTGCCGGAATCAATTTGTCTGCCGGGATTATCTGTTTCCCTTTTTTTATTGATTTTTTTTATTTATCGATTTATTTTTTTCTTATATCTTATTTCTGGTGGGGTTACCTATCTTACACCTCCTCCAATCTTCTCTCCCCCTATCCTTCCTCACTCTACCCCTCCCTCCCTCCCTACCTCTTTCCCCTGCTTCCTCCTCCCTTATTCTACCTATCCCTCCATCTTTCCCTTTCCCTTCTCCGACAACACTTCCTTCCTTCCCTCTCACCAATACCTGAATGTATGTATTATTTCCCAAACTTGGCACAACATTCATCAAGATAATAATTAATGGTTTTATTCTACCTTGCCGTCATAACTCTTACTCACTGCCAACTTACTAACGAAATTTGTGTTCAGGGAGACTTAAAGAAAACGGTAGATCAATTATTAAGGAGGAGGGAGTTCGCCCTCATTCCTTCATTAATAATCATAGTTAATATCTTGATAATTATTATTATTTTTTTAACTTGAGGGATGGAGCACACAAGGACCATTTACTCTCCACCACCTCTTATTTTTGTTCTTCAGTACCCGACATTCTTGAATCATGTCTGTCTCCACATTTTCTTTGAAATTCATTGCTTATTTCCTCTCTCTCACAATGACCCCAGACTCAAACAATAAGAAAATAAAAATACGAAAGTCTCTCCCGTTCTTGCACAAGAATTAAGGTGACAGTTTTCCTCTCCTTCCTACTTAGGCTCCCAGTAATTATTCAACAGCTTTACGTGCTTAAATATGCAAATTTTATTCAAATGACCCCGCGCGTCTGAGGTGAGTGTTTGTCCAGTGTTCAGCGAGGCGTTTGTAACCTTAGGATACAGAGCCGCCTCCGGGAAAGAGTCTATTACCTTAAAACAAAAGCAGGATAATTAAGATATTAAAAACAACTCATTTGTTTTTAATATGATATTATATCCGTGTTGTAAACTTACTTTATTTTTTAATTAATAAATAGAAAGTAATAAATGAGGCCACTATCGGGTGCGGTTAGGTCCTTGACAAATATAAACATTGATAAATAAACATGTTTTTATTTGGGGTAACTGAAGGGAAAAATAAAGATTCAGTAATTTTATTCAATACATTTCAAATATAGACACAATCTAGCAACATCTTTTACTAGTAAGATGGAGAACAAACTAAGAATAGATATTCGTGTACATATCTAGACTGACCACTTTTAATCTTATAAATATTATTCTGTTTATTTGCAAAAAAGTTACATGGTTATTGATTTGATCATACAATAAATATATCATACAATTGTGGTTTATAAAGTATTATGAATATTGTTTTATTAAGGTCACACTTATGCCAGGACCATTATCACCATCACCACTACCCAACACCATAAGTGGATTTTCGACAGGTGTTGAAGACAGATGGCATTTGGCTGGTTCTCACAGGGTGTAGAACTCAGGTGGTGTTAAGATGTGACGCAAAAGGTGTAAGAAAGTCAAGTGGTGTTAAATTGGGTGATTCAGGTTGTCTTAATCAAGTTGATTTTCAGAAGGTAGCGAAGTCGATCGTTACAAGACGGCAATTGGGTGGTAAATAAACTCCCAACAGCAGGTGGTATTAATTTGGTCCTTAGATAATAACAGAACTAAATGATGTTCACTTAGTCCTCTGAAGATGAAGGAGCCGTATGTAACTCAGCTGCTGGCCTTAAGGAGGAACACCAAAGACTCTCTAACAGTCGACGGAGCCAATCTTGGAGGTGATCCAGGAGGTGTAAGCCGGCACGCGGGTGTAGACTCCTGGCTTATTCACCTCAGCACAACCCTCCCCGTGGCTGACGATACCTACCAGTGCCCATTGTCCCTCACCCACCTCCGCGATCAGAGGCCCACCGCTGTCTCCCTGAGGACATTATTATTAGTTAATATAGGTAGATTATTGTTAATATTATAAACAAAATTAGGATATTATTACTCAAGTGGGATATCATTACTATTAAACGTACACATAGAACAGTTATTTACACACACACACATATCATAACGTCATCCTAACAGAGTATAATTAATGCTATCTGGTACCTACTCTTATCTCGTAACATATTTCCGAACAGATTATGCAATATCATTATCCCGTTAGAGTATAGTATTACCACTACATACCTCTCACATTATAATACTTTTACTACACATACACCACGTTATAAACCTGCCAATGTATGATATTATACTACACTACATATACCAAACTGCCCCACACAGCCATAACCAATAGGGCCACCTCATGTTACTTTCTTGGTAGTACAAACACACCTACCACACAACTACACTACCACACTACCAAAACCACCACACTACTACACTACCACACAACCACTCTACCACACTACCACACAACCACACTGCCATAGGTTTCATGCAATGTATTTTAGCTCCACAACTACGAGAAGGCCAGCGCTTACATTACTGCTGCTCTACCATTTCTACCACATACACATTTCCCTGAGCTTCTACCATTACCGTACACTACCACCATCATACTGTACACTACTACCATCATACAGTACACTACCACCATCATACTGTACACTACTACCATCATACAGTACACTACCACCATCATACTGTACACTACCACCATCATACTGTACACTACCACCATCATACTGTACACTACCACCATCATACTGTACACTACCACCATCATACTGTACACTACCACCATCATACCGTACACTACCACTTATTACTGCCGAGTCCTCTTTACCATTAGACTGGAACTCTTAATGGACTTACGTGACCTGTAGGTACTTACGACACTGACTGGGCCATTACCGAGGTTGAAGTAATGTTATAAACAGAATCTCTGTTATCAAACAATTGACTATAATACCCTCCACGTAATCAATTGACACAAACCATCCATTGGTGTTAATGTGAGATGGAGGTCAACCAAGTTTACCTGGTCCCACCTGTGACCTGATATCCCTCTTATTCAGTTGCCGATTTAACTTCTCACTTGATCTGGGATATGTGAGAGTGACCTGGGTGATGACCCCTTACCTGACAGGTATCCTTGTCTTGAGTGAGGGCGCAGATGAAGATACTGGGGTCAGCGTTGCCTAAGTTTTGACATTTAGAGTCACTAAGTAGGTCTAGAGACACCTCCAGCAGTATGTCTGAATACTTGTTCGTACCTGAAAATAGAGAGAGAGAGAGAGAGAGAGAGAGAGAGAGAGAGAGAGAAATTTTTTTTGTCATACATTGCGATAATTTAAAAATTCTCCTGCTATATTTTCATAGAGATAAATTAGCTTCAGTAGTGACCAATGAGTGCGAGTGGAGGGTGTAAACAGACTGTGTAGTGAGAATAGTTACCATATGTCATGTATAAATTTACCAAGTGTTGTGCTCTGTGGGGTTTTATTGTGTGAATTTTAACAAATAACAGAATGTGGTCTAACTTAATCTGAACATAGGAAATTAATAGTAATCGAATTTAACCTGTGCAGTAAATGACTCACCTGTGCAATAAACGTCTCACCTGTGCAGTAAATGTCTCACCTGTGCAATAAACGTCTCACCTGTGCAGTAAATGTCTCACCTGTGCAATAAACGTCTCACCTGTGCAGTAAATGTCTCACCTGTGCAATAAACGTCTCACCTGTGCAGTAAATGTCTCACCTGTGCAGTAAATGTCTCACCTGTGCAGTAAACGTCTCACCTGTGCAGTAAATGTCTCACCTGTGCAATAAATGTCTCACCTGTGCAGTAAATGTCTCACCTGTGCAGTAAATGTCTCACCTGTGCAGTAAACGTCTCACCTGTGCAGTAAATGTCTCACCTGTGCAATAAACGTCTCACCTGTGCAGTAAATGTCTCACCTGCCTTGGTAGTACCCCAACCTGTGGCGACTACCTTGCCTCCTCTTTTGATGTTTTTGTTCAATGCCAAACACATTGGCTGGATGGTCGACGAGAACTGCACCGGTTCATTTAGCTCCACCAGTGCGATGTCGTTCTTCTGTGAGGTTCCAAGAATAAATGTGAGAGGGTGTAGAGTGTGTGTGGATGGTTGATAGTGCGGATGTGTGAGAGGTAAGTGTAGGTGATGCTAGTGTGTGTTGGTAGTGCTATTAGGTGGAGGCAGAAAGTGGATGATAAAAGGAAGTGGGTGAGTAGAAAGTGGATGGTGGCAGAAAGTGGATGGTGGCAGAAAGTGGATGGTGGCAGAATATACTGTAAATGATGGTAAAAATGGATGGTGTTAATGGGAGATTGGAGAGGATTGATGGTGGTAAAGCGCTTAGGCAGTGGCAGAGGGTAGATGGTGGTAGTGGCGTTAGTAGAGAATGTCCGGGGAGGTAGGTGGTAGTGTCGGGGGGTGGTAGTGGTAGCCGGGGGAGAGGATGGGTAGTGGGTGGAGTGGTAGTGTCCGGGGAGGTAGGGATAGTGGTAGTGGGGGAGGTAGAGGATAGTGCAGGTGGGGAGGATCAGAGGGAGGTGGGGAGTGGTCGGGGGTGGGTGGTGTCAGAGATAGTGGTAGTGTCCGGGGAGGTGGGGATAGTGGTAGTGTCTGGGGATGAGTAGAGGAGGTGAGGGATAGTGGTAGTGTCAGGGGGAGGTAGAGGATAGTGGTAGTGTCCGAGGGGTAGAGGGATAGTGAGTGAGGTCAGAGGGAGGTGGGGATAGTGGTAGTGGGAGGGAGGTAGGGGATAGTGGTAGTGTCAGGGGAGGTAGAGGATAGTGGTGTAGGTAGAGGGTAGTAGGGGATAGTGTAGTGTCGGGGGGAGGTAGAGGGATAGGAGAGGAGGTAGAGGTAGTTAGAGGAGGGGAGGGGGTAGAGGTAGAGTTAGGTGAGAGGTCAGATGGTGGTAGTGTCAGAGGAGGTAGAGGATAGTGGTAGTGTTAGAGGGAGGGATAGAGTGGTAGAGGTCAGAGGGAGGTGAGGGTAGTGGTCAGGGAGGTAGAGGGTAGAGGAGGTGGTAGGGGAGGTAGGGATAGTGGTAGGTTTAGAGGATAGGGTAGAGTTTGGTCAAGGGAGGTAGAGGATAGTGGTAGTGTTAGAGGATAGTGGTAGTTTTAGAGGGAGGTAGAGGATAGTGGTAGTGTCAGAGGGGGAGGTAGAGGATAGTGATAGTTTTAGAGGGAGGTAGAGGATAGTGGTAGTGTCAGAGGGGGAGGTAGAGGATAGTGATAGTTTTAGAGGGAGGTAGAGGATAGTGGTAGTTTTAGAGGGAGGTAGAGGATAGTGGTAGTTTTAGAGGGGGAGGAAGAAGTAGAGAATGTGTAATCAAATAATTAACGTTTATGCACATGGTCTTTGGCTCAGGAGTTGTTACACGTTATATCCATCGTGTGACAGAGGGTCGATATGCCTCCTCCTCATGGACACTTACGAAGTTGTTATTATTGTAATTTTCGTGGATGTGGACTTTCTTGGGAGTGAGCACTAAACTGTCTTGAGAATTGTCTGATAGGTCGGTCTTGCCCAGGGTCAACGGGAAGGAGGTGGGATCGGATCTGGCGATAGAACACCACAACAAACAATTAGAATCTTGCCAGCACGTTCCTCTTTACGCCCCCAAACAAAAATTTTTGTTAAGTACATCAGACGAAAGTTTATCTGTATCCTTGGGTAAAAAACAAGATATTGAGGTATATGAGCCTTAGGGTCTTGATTATTGGTGATAATAATGTAGTGGATATATTTTGGGAATTACACAACCCTAAAACTGTGTTATTCTGGGTTTGTGACCTTAATATGAATAAATTGACTTTCAATTAGGTACAATTGGGTTCATTTCGGATATTTTCTGGTCGTTTCCCCACCGAGACGATTATCCGTCAAGTTATTAGGTTGGGTTAAGTTAGGCTAGGTTAGGGTAGGGTGGGGTAGGGGAATCGTCCTGCAGATGAATGAATCGACCGAAAGTGATGGGAAACTCGTCAGCCTGGCTGGTGGTGAAGGGGACCCGTCTACCACCCCTTTGGACCTCCCAGGGATTTGATTATCAAAAGTTAATATGTTAAAGCTTCCTCGTAATTGGAGATGTAAGATAGCATTCAAACTCATTGAATGATGTTGAATGACAGAACTAACGTCAAAAATTTCAACAAAACTTTAGTTTGCCTTATCAAGGCTCATTCCTAATACCTTCAGTTGCTGAGCAAAATTAACATAGATTCACTCAAAAAACTATTTCTACTTGGGGGATGGTTTGAAGAATTTAAGAATGAACACTGCGACTCCTGCTGTCTCGGTAGGGTTGCCCAAATTCTCCGTCTGTTGTGTCTTTTTTTCAACACAATTTTGTGTAAATAGTTTTTTGAGTGACTGTACATAATCTTTGTAAACTCGGACTTTTATTGATAACAACATTACGCCAAGACTAGTTTTAACTTAGCATGTTCACTTATGATAAATAGTCTTCCTTAGTCTCGACGCAAACTTACAGACCGAAGTAGCAGTGGGCGGCGGTGACGATCCATTGAGGAGCAATGAGCGTCCCACCACACCCTTGCTTGTGATACACCATCCAGGGGTACTCTCCTTCAGACGCCTCCTGGCCACCTATCACTCTCGGCGCCTGTACGTCCGACATCCCACAGTTCGCTAACCAAAGGGAGGAATACGTTTAAGTTTTGGGTTGAGTCAAGGTTGTGTTAGGGGGTCATTCTGAACAGATGTGTGAATGTGAGGGAAGCTGGGGCACTAACTAAATGTTTGAAGAGGTGATATTTGAAGAGAAAGTGTGTGGTGAGGTGGTGTTTGGAGAGGAAGTGTTTGTTTGGAGAGTAGGTCTTTGGAGACGAAATTATTCAAGGTGAGAGAGTAAGATGATATTACAGCAGTTTATGCTCTTAGTTAAGGGAAAATTTATTAAATTGATTATAAGAAGAAATCAAATTAATAAGCTTTTTAATCATCCTGAAGGGGACGACATACAGGAAGGTATTGTGGTTAAGTGAGAAGAACTCCATTCTATAACCGAACTGGGGGTGGGGGGTGAACAGAGTGTGGATTGTGTTAGTGGGTGATGGTGCAGTGTCTCGTGGGTGTGGATGGCTGCAGAGGATGTAAGTGGATGACGGTAGTGTTTGTGGAGTGTTGTGTGGATTGTGGTAGAGTGTGGATGTTGTTACGTTGTGTAAGCGTGTGGTTGGGTGTTGGTGCTTCTCGTAGGTATATGGTGGAAGTGGAGTGTGGATGGTGGGGGAATGTTGAAGGTGTTAAGAGGTGTAATGTGGATGTTGGTAGTGTGTGGATGGTGTTCGGTGGGTAGTGTTGATGGTGAGGAAGTATGTTTGGTTGGGGGTGGTTGTGGTGTTGGTAAAGGGACAGTAGTTATGATTGAGAAAGATACTCGACAGGATATTTGATGTTTTGAACTATGAAATATGAGATTAATTATATGTTTTTTTTTATAATCCCGGACACACACACACACACGCACACGCACTTTCTCCTTCGATCTCTTATCACTGACGACGACTTACCACACAGAGGTCTGGTGTCTGATGTCCCATTATCAGTACTCGGCGGGTTCGACTCTATTAAAGGAAAGAGAAAAACAATAAACAAATTGACCAGTTAGCTGAAGAGTTGGATACTAGAGTCACTGTTAGAGTCATGGCTATTATTGTAAGGGTTGGTGACGTACCCTTGGTCGTGGCCCGATTATTTTTGCCGTGAAACTATACAGCGGGATGACAAGTTTAACCCCCAGTGTAAGTTTGACAATTACTCTCGCTCTTTCCTCCCCTCCTGCCCATTCTCCTTACTCTTCAGGCTCACCATCAACAGAATAGACTTCATAGATGACCTGTGTCTCTCTCCCTCTCTCTCCTCCCTCCCCTCTTTCTGGATTTCCTCTCTCTCCCTCCTTCCCTGTCTTTGCTTTATCTCTCTCCCTGTCTCTACCTCCTTAGGCATCTCCTTATCTCTCCCTTTACTTATCTTTTAGTCTCACCATCGATAGGAAAGACTTCACACGTGTATCCCCCGGAGCACTCGTCCCCCTTGAGGGCCTTACGCATGTGAAGAAACTGAAGAACGTTTCCTTTCGCCACGTAGTTATTCGTCCACTTGGCTGTACAGTATTTGCTCCTGAAGCGAGAGGAAAGTGAGAAAGATAAGCAGGGATAAGAAAGGAGGGAGAGTTTAAAGATGGAGGAGGAAGAGGACGAGGTACAAGAGAGATTAGGGAGGAGGAAGGGAAACAAAAGAGGAATGACAAGGATAAGGAGCAAGAGAAGAAGTAGGAAGAAAGAGAGGAGGGGTGGGGGAGGGGCAAGGGAGGAAGGAACAGGCAAGAAAGAAAGTAAGGAGGAAGAGGATGACGACTTGAAATGGAGATGCGAGTTGATGATGAAAGGGAAAGAGAGGAAGGGAGAAGATGACGAGGAGGTGATAGAAATTGTCTAGTGATGAGTGTAATTGTCGATCTGGGGTCAAAACGGGACAAAAATCAAGAAGAAAGAGGATAAAGTGGAAATGGACAAGAGTTAAAAAAGAGAGAGAGAGAATGGGGGAGAGTTAAAGACAGAGAAAAGACGAACATGAGGATATGAAAGGAGAGAAGGAACTAAAAATAAGAGTGTGTAAGATATGAAAAGAGAAGAGTGAGAAACAAAGACGGAAATAATGAGGGATAGTGAATTCTTACTTGATTGTCTTCCCATTGTCGTCTTCAGTGATGACGAGTTTCTCCTTATTACAACCACCGGGATTCAGTTCGAAATTGGGACACTGGACAGCCAACACAGAGGCCGAGGGTCCCTGAAGCGAGAGAAACACCTTACATATACCAGGCTGTTGTACTTAGTTTTAATATAAGTTAAATATATTAGGGTTTAGTTGAACTCTCTCTCCTACTCACCGTAACCTTGACCTTGCATTTTTGCTGATCTCCATTATTATTAGAGAACAATAAGAGAGATTCCCCATACTTCAACTTGTACTTAGAGCCACACTTCAACGCGGAGCCTGTCGGGGGTAAAGCAGTGGGTAAGTAAAGTTATATCAGGGAGTATATCGGGTATATCAGGGTTATATCAAATGTATCAGGGTAAGGTTGTATATATCAGAGGGTAAGTTAAATATATCAGGGTTAAGTTGCATATATCAGAGGGTAGGTTGAAAATATCAGGTGGTTAGGTCAAGCATATCAAGGATGGTTCAAGATTAGATTAGTTAGGTTAGCAAGGATGCTATTTACTTATAGATTGTCTTAGGATTACCTTAAGGATTACCCCCTATACAGACTAAGTTTCAAAATCAAGATAAATATATAAAACCATCGATATTTGCCGTCATTCCTATTAAGTGTGACAGGAGGGAAGTTTGAGGCATAAAACGACACCACACGACCCAGGATGATTTGTTGACACGACAGTAACAGACGTGTGTGTTGTGGTCTCACTTACTTAATTTAGCACGGCCTTGTTCGAGCTGTTCTTCACCTTTTGTCTCCGTGTCATCATCATCCTCGTCAGTAGCATTATTGTCGTTGTCGCTAAGTGCACCTGCAACTTGACTCACACTCTGTGGAGACTGTGAGGTATTGTCTAGTTGATCCTGCTCATTCTGACTACCTCCCACCACCTGCTCGAGGAGGAGGAAGGGCAAGAAGAAGAGGAAAGATTTAAATGGGGGAGAAGAAAAGGAAGACGAAGAAGAAATAGGGAAGAAAGAGATAGGAACAGAAAAGAAGACGAAAGAGAACAAAAACATTATAAAAAAAACGAATGTGGTAACTTTAGTATGTCATCTCTTGAACACAGAGGTACAGTATATTCCCACATCTCTGTAGCATCAACTTGAACACGCGTCTAGAATGTGTAGTGCTGTGAGGCGCCACACATACACTTGTGTTTGTAAACAGTCAAGACTTACCTGTGTGAGGGCGGGGACTGCCAAAACGAAGGCGAGGGCGATAATTAATGTCACCTGCATCCTATTAAATAGAATGAATATATGTACAGTACATCCACAGTGTTTGTAAAATATATCATAAAATACATGTACTTGACAACATACCAATAAGTTCTTACAGTAATATTGTACCTTTTCTGAGAACATAATGATATGCCTCTACTTTCTCATACATCATCATCATCATCATCATCATCATCATCATCATCATCATCATCATCATCATCATCATCAAATAACAGCACTACTATATTGGTGCATCAGTGACCTTGAGGACAGTAAACATTAAAGGCTGATTAATTATTGAAGTAGAAAATATCCAACATATCTTTAGTGGTGACTGCTGGATATTCCCTCTCTCAATATCTGTCTATACGTGAAACTTATCGTCTGCTTTTACGATAACAGAGCGTCACTGTAAGCATACGCCAGGCGAACATTCGTCTATCTGTAAACTTGTGACGGTAGGACGGCCTCCCTTTACTCATCACAAGTGCAGTTATTACGGGGAAAAACTCTCGATAATGCTGACTGCTCGTGTCATCATGGATTTGTTCTAACTGTATTTATTACCCCAATGATCACCATTCCTGACTGACTGAGAGGAACTGCTTTTCAGAGTGAGGAAGTGGTTATCCTATACTCCTCATCATAGACTCTGTCCAAGGTATCACCGTACAATAACTTACTTAGAGTTGGGTCCTGGGTCAAGGTGATCAAGGTGCCATAACACCTTTAATTATTGAGTGAGGGAAGTGAACTATTCTGATGGTCTCATAGTAAACTAACACTGTTAAGGTAATTCGATATCGTTTTAAACCATGTATGACGATCAGCGGTGGAGAGAGATAAAAGAAGAAAATAGAGTTCATTAAATAGGGCCAAATGAACGCAGTACTTGTAAAAACACATATACAAGCCCTATACATGCTGTCTCACACACACACACACACACACAGACACAGGTGTAGAGTTCTAAAGGTTAGTCTATTGCACAAGTGGCAGGGGAGAAAAGAAGAATGTTTTCCTCCCTAGATATCTGTATCACCGTGTATGTTTTCCCCAACACATACCTATATAGGCGAGGCATGTCATACCCTTCCCCCCCTCCCTCCCTCCCTCCCTCCCTCCCTCCCTGACCTCAAGAGCGACCCTTCTCCGTCTTCTTCTCTTTCGTTCTTCATAATCCTCCTCCTTCTTCTTCTTCCATTCTTCCAAACAAAGACTGAGTAGTATATCAACCTTTATACCGATTTTTTTTTCACAATTCTTCGCAGTGTTTATTCCGAGATGTATTCATCCCCCTTACGCCTTCTCATTTTATTCCTCCATTCTTTCCCTTCGTTTACTCTACATTCTTTTCAATTTTCCCCATTCTCTTCTCTCTTTTCTCCTCCCCCTGTGATCGTCTTCTCCTTCATCCTGTCTCAATATTCATCTGTCAACTTAAGTTCTAGTCTTCATATGTTTCCTTCCTCTTCTCTTTCAATCCTTTTCTACTTTCTTTTTTTCTCTCCCTCTCATACCCCTCTATCCTTGCTCTATTTTCTCTCTCTTCCCTCCCACTTATAATTTTTTTATCTTCCCCTCCACCCCTTCCTCTCCTTTTACCCCCGTTTCCCTTTCCTTTCTCCAAAATCTCCTCACTTCTCTTCAACACTTCCCATTCCCCCTCGCTTATTCTCTTCCATCCCATTCATGCTTCCTCTTCTGTTCCCCTCTCTTATTACATTCCTCCTTCTCTCATGTTTTTCACGTCTTTCATTTCCTTCTCTTTTATTTCTTTTAATACCTATATGAGCCACTACCTGAAGACGGATGCCAGGACTTGTGTTTAAGTTGCAGTGGGATTCTACCAGGAGAGAATGATTGTTGTGTTAGCTTCCGTCGTAGAGCTGCCTCCCCTTAGTACACTTTAGTCTGCCCCCATCTTACCCTTATTTCTTCTCAGCACGGTTTTGCCTTTACTCAGCACCCTTCTGATTTTATTTCTCTTTCCTTTGCTTTCCCTCCTTCACAATTACTTCTGTTTCCTTTCGTTACACTTCTGTGTCCTCTTAGTTCACTTTACCGCCCCCCAGCACACTTCTACCTCCCTTCAACTCGTTTCTGGTCCCTCATAGAATACCTCTGTCTTCCCTTAGGCTCTACTGTCAATCAGCGCCCCAGAACAGTATTAGCAGGTGTTTCGGGCGAGAAAAATAGAAAGGAAACCGCAAGTCGCCAGATCGGCAGGCTGAGAGAATACCTAGTTGCTGAAACTCGACGTTGGAGACACATCATCTGACGTGTGTCCCGGGAAGTTTGTGACAGCTGCACATGCAGGCACCACACACATGACAGCTGCAGCCGCAGGGGAATGGCTGGTGAAAACATCTAGCATTTTATAGAACTCAAACGACACGAAACTGGCAACCGGGAGAAATAATCCAACGCTACAACGTTCCGCCATGCCTCAGTGCTTCCTTTATTTATAGCCATGACCTAAGGCCCCTCCTCACAGAGTTCCGGCACGCACCTCCCTCACCCTCTGCACAGCCAAATTCTGGTAGTCTCAACTTGTGGGAATGTGTCTCGACCCTTCTTAGGTCAACTCACCCATAAAATTTCCCCAAATTTATCGAAAAATCTTAGTCTCCACGGAAAATATTAGACCTATTCCTGAAAACTAAGTTTAATACGAACAGTGAATCGACACGAGAAGTTGTGGATCAGTGTGGATTACATGTCAACACTGCGGATGTAAGTTTAGGATATAAGCAAATGTGTGTTGACATTTCCACTTATTGTCATTGTCCTTTCTCGTCGCTTCCTACGCTCGTCCTGAACAACTCCTTCATATTATTTCTCACCTTCTCTGAGATCTGTGTCTCATGAGCCAACCAACACTCCGGTGGGGGTGAGTACAGATAACAGATAAATTCGCAAAAGTTTTTAAAGCAATTTTTTTCTTGTCGATGAAACATTGTCGAATAATTTAAATAGGTCCCACGAGTGAGTCTCTCAGTGTCCCAGTGCTGGTGGGCGTATTGCTCAGTACTGTATCCGTCACTATAGGTAGAAGCAAAATGTCTGTTAGTGCAGAAGGGAAGAATCATCCTTTACTAGACTAATGATAAACACAACTTCATCTCGTGTTTATTATCGACCTGAGAAATAATTTACACTACAACCTCGCCTTTGTTCCTCTCACCGAGTCTACCCTTCAATGTTTCTCACCTGTGAGGTGGATTTTTCAAGTGATCCTTCTTAGCTTACTCTTTATCATTAGTTAAAACAGTAAGAACTTTCCCTTCTTGAAGACGTTTAGCCTTACTTAGCTTTATAATGTAAAAAACAAAGAATAAACTTACTCGAAAAATTGGGCTTTGTTGCAGAATTGCGAGCGTTGAATGGTTACTGCAGTCTGGAGGTATCTGACAGTGCAGTTTTGTAGGGGATAAAGTGAGAGAAGAGAGAGAATGAGAGAGATGGACTTATCGAGAGAACGGAGGTACTATCAGGTAGTGTAGAGTCCGTGCAGTCTTGTAGGTCCGTCTGTCAGGGAGTGGAGACAGTGCCCAAGTGAGCACCAAGTTGCCAGCTGACCAACACCTTGACTCCGTTCCTCTCTGCATCACAGGTGCGCGTACACATGTGCGGTGGTAGGAGGTGTGTGCGTGTGTGTGTAATAATAATAATAATAATAATAATAATAATAATTAACGGTTTATTGAAAGAGCATAGCAGCCAGAAGGCTGAAAATGTACAGTTACATAATTGGGGAATGGGTTTCGATTTACAAATAATATACAAGTAACATAAGTGATACAAATAAGATATATAATAACTAGATGGGGAAAAGCTCAAACTACAGGGCATTTCAACATAGTGACAGTGCAAGAAGTAGGATTTACTGGGAGTGAATACACTGGTTTATTACAAGTTATTGAAAATTTTTACAATGGTTGGGACTGGGCTGTTCTTATAGCGATCAGTTCGTGCACGTATGGGCTGGATGCTGTTGTGGTGTCGAACAGCAATTCTCGGGCTAGGGATCTCAGGTGGTAGTAGGAGCCGGTGTCGAGGATGGTGCAAAAGCTTCTTACCAAATTTGCAGATGAGGTCGCGGTGATGGTCAGTGAGAGTCGAAAGGGTGAGTGTGTTGAGCACTTCTTGATATGTGGAGTAGGAAGGGGAGAGAATAATCTTGCATGCCCTCTTTTGCACTTTTTCTAGGTGTTTACGTTGTGTGGCATTTAGGGAGGAAGACCAGGTGGGGGAGGCATAGGTGAGCTTGGGAAGTATGAATGTTGAGTAAACACTGAGGAGCTCGGGTGCAGGAACTCAAAGGGACTTGAGTCGGCGGAGGAGGTGGAGACTGAAACTGGAGGATTTGACAACTTCACTGACGTGTGGTTTCCAATTTAGTTTGTTGTCTATGGTGACGCCGAGGAGCTTCGTGGAATCTACAACCTGGAGTGTGTTGGGACGTAAAGTAATGGAAGGGGGTGGGACAATGTCGGAAGAGAGGTTGATGTGCATAACCATGGTCTTGGTATGGTTGATGGTGACGTGGTTGTTGGTGGCCTAGTTTTGGAGGCTATTCAATAAATCATGAAGGGCGGTATAGTCGGGAGAAGAATTGTTGACGTTGATCCCAATAGTGGAGTCGTCGACATATTTCCAGCGATCAGGGGTTTCTCTTAGGGCATCATTGATAAGCATAAGGAAGCAGAGTGGTCCCATCTTGGTGCCTTGGGGGACGCCACAGGTGTGTGTGTGTGTGTGTGTGTGTGTGTGTGTGTGTGTGTGTGTGTGTGTGTGTGTGTGTGTGTGTGTGTGTGTGTGTGTGTGTGTGTGTGTGTGTGTGTGTGTGTGTGTGTGTGTGTTTGTATTTTTTTAGTTTGAATTTGATTTAAGTTAGTGTGTGCGTGTATGTGTGGAAGTATGTCTGCCTGCTAGTGCCTGTGATTATTTGTATGTTTTCATGCTGGTGTATTGTATAAGGATCTAAATGTGTATATCTCTGTGTTAGATTTTGTGTTTGTATGTTTGTTTGAGAGAGAGAGAGAGAGAGAGAGAGAGAGAGAGAGAGAGAGAGAGAGAGAGAGAGAGAGAGAATATTAGGTGCCAGGTGTTTTCGAACTACTCGACATTATTAGGCAATAGAGTCTAGCCATTGGAACACCTGTGTTGATTATATAGCTACCTGCCCATTCACCTATTGTGACCCTCTCCTATACAAGCCACCACCCTCATTTTTATACACCCACAAGCACACCATAATTCGTGTTTACACCCTCAAGTACACCTCCACTCACCAATGCACTAAAACCACACCTGACTCACATACATACCCACAGGTACTCTCACACACACACACACACACACACACTGCGGTAACACACCTCTACTGTTGCCGGATGCAGGTGTCAATCATCGTGCCTACACCTATTGTATAAGGAAGGCGAGGGTGGGAGGTTGACACGGGAAAAGTGGGGCGAGACATCGACTATTCTTTGGGTAACCTGATCTGTCAAATGTCGAAATGATGTTTGTATGTGTGTGATGTTGATTGTCTTTCTCTCTTTCTTTCTTTCTTTCTTTCAGTCAGTCAGCACTCATCTTCAATTTATTATTTGTCAACACCAGAATCAACGCAAGTACCCACCACTACCATCACCACCTCATACACCAACCGACTTCACCAACACACACAACTTACCTACACCGCCACCAACATCCTCCATAACCCATCACCACTTCCACTGCCACAACCCTCCACCATCACCACTCCCACAACCCATCACCAGAACAACCTTACCACCAACCACCACCCCCACAACCAACTACTACCCCCACAACCCACTACCATCACCACCACCTCCACAACCCAATACTACCCCCCACAACCCGCCAATATCACCACCCCCACAACCCACCACCACCACCCCCACCACCACCACCACCACCCCACAAGCCACCACCACCAACCCCACAACCCACTACCACCCCCCACAACCCACCACCACCACCCCCACAACCCACCACAACCATCGTCTCCAGCCTACACAGCCCACTACGAAGCGCCAATCTGTTTCCTTCAGCCATCCACCGGTCTCTTAAGAAACACCCAGGAAGAAAATTTGTTGCGAGAACTTTTAATGGAGAAATCAGCATTCGTTTGATCTTGGGCCCGGTCACACGTCGGCCACACGGCGGAGACCTTGTTGCAGGGCCCGGGGGGAGAGGAGTACGCCGAGGAAAACTTGAAAGAAAGTACTCGCCATTTTGTCAAATATACAGCAGAGACTTTGCCACAGAGTAGAGTGGGAAAATATAGTGTGTGTTCGTGATTCCTCTGAGGAGCCTCTGTGAGATCATGCTTGCCTTCGTGATTCATGCATTAAGGACGCAAGTGCTTGAAGGACCATGGGTTTTGTCGCCACACCAGCCACAGCCACTGCGGTCTGAATCTTGGGAGATGTTGGATGCTGTATGACCAGGCGAGATGGCAATGATATCAGGGACAGGGACGTGTGGATCCTTGCGAGAAGAGGTGCCTCTTTGACATTTACGCCACTGGTGACCTCTACCCCCCATGTTAGAAACAGGTGGCAGCCTAGGGGATTCGAGGTTAACGGGTCCTTTGTGGGACGATCGAGGACCATAACTGACCTCTGACTCCCTGTATGTATCGTAGCACTTGACCTTGACCTTTGGCTCCCAGTGTGATGTTAATAATCGGTCCGTCAACATGATACTCTCCCCTGCCCTTTTTTCCCATAGGTACAACCCAACAACAGTCAGACACCAGCGATGATTTATGAGTGTATGTATGGCTGTCTTTTTCCCTCTTTCTCTCTAATGTTCTTTTTGTTTCCTACTTTCTTTCAGTTTCTTTCCTCTTTTTTTTTCTGTTTGCATCTCCGTTTTCCGTTCATCTTTCTCTTTTATTTTCTCTTCTTAGTTCTTTCTTTTTGTCTTTCTTTGAGTCTATGTCATAATAGATTACATTATAAATCAAATAATCTCCATACACCAAAAGGCTGAAATAGACAATCATTGGATAAGAAGCTTCACCCTTATCACAGACACAACCGCACCCATTCTCTTTCTCATTCTCTCTTCTCTAACCTAAACACACAGTTGGTTCCATCACAACACATCCTCAAGCAACGGATCTTCAACTGTTTACAAAGTGGAGAATTATGTTTTTCTTGTAGTTGGATAATATTGTATTTACCGAATCATTCTTAGGGTGAAGTGTAAGAAAGACTACTCTGGGGATGAGTCTTGATAACAGTGGATTTTAGTGAATGGTTTTTCAATAGGTTATTTCGATCAAAAATAAGATTAACACTTTACAAACTTTGGGGAAATTAAGAGGAAAATTCATTAATATATACAGAATATTGGAAGGAAGGTATTTATTACATTATATCACATCCTCTTCTACAGTATATTGATAATTTTACCTCGTGTTCTTATATATTAATTTAAATTATTTCTTTATGAAGGACGCAAGGCAGAAATAATTCAGAGGTACACAAAAATAAACATTAATGATTTGAGTGGCTTGGTAGAGCCAGACAAAAACAACAACACGTGAAGAGACAGTCATCATCATCATCATCATCATTGTAGGATCACCATCATCATCGGGCGAAGCAGAAGCAACTAATGTCGTTCTTCCTCACTATCACGCTGAAGTTCCTCACCCTCCTAGTTGAAACTCACACACGAACTGTATGTGATCCGAACAATCCCGATCATTGAGCACCCGAACCTTCTCTGTATCTAATCCGGCGCAGTTCTCAATTCCTTTATGGTTGTTTGGTTCACCTTCGGAAAAATCGTTTTCTACAATGTTTCGCCCGTCCAACCACGACCACGAACCTTCCTTCTCTTGATCGGTGGCGCCCACAAACACCGCGGCTGAATCTGAGGGTCATAGTTTCACATTAGTACATAATATCAATATCTCGGTATAGGAACAGAGTTAAGAGCTACACGGTCACTCGTATTCATTCTCTGTCTACTCTAGTGGTCTTCTTCCTCCATAACGCGACCCCTTTGGTTTCCTGTCTGGTGGTATAGCCTTCTCACTGTACACAACTTGGCATCATCTATCAGTTGTAAGTCTATCTTAATAAGCCACTTGATATACACCTTTTGTTTTCTTGGTTGTTTTTCTCTCTCCCATTTACTACTTCCCCCTCATCCCATCCTTCCTTCACCCTATTTGGTCTCTCTCTGTCTCCTATCATCCACCTCTGAATTAATCTTTTTTTCTTTTTTATCTATGTATCGTCATCCATTTTGTCACTATTCTCCATGCCACCTTAGCCTACACTGATCTTGTAGTGGTATTAATGCTATGCTACTTATGACATGCTTTAGTTCATCATTCAGTATCGGCAGTTGAGTTATACATATATACATCCTGAACTTATCTCCATTCATATATTTTTCCTCTCCCTTTTCTCTCCCTTTTTTTCCTCTCCCTTTTCTCTCCCTTTTTTTTTCCTCTCCCTTATCCCCTCACATATCCCCTCCCTTTTTCCCAATGCACCATAACCCTCTTTGTCTCTGATACTCTTTAATCTATTTCTTCCCCCGTTGCTATGTTCGTCACTGACACATACACTTCCAGGTATCTGAAGCACTATACACCTTCCATTCTTTCTCTCCATTCAATCTAACATTCGTTCCTCCGTGTTTCTTTTGCCTGTTTATTTCACCATTTCTTTCCCTTTTGTTTATTATCCATATTTATCATTCCTACACAGGTAGCCCCTCATCCCATCATGCGTTTTGCCTGTTCTTACATTCTAATTTCTTTATCACCACACATTCGCTGCACTATATAAAATTACTGAATGATGGTCTGGCACTACGCATTCACAGTTCCTCTTAACACGTTCGCATCTATGATCTTACATTTAATAACTTCTCCATGGTCACGTCTATATGTGTATATATAATTTGATTTCTCTTTTCAAGTTTTCTTTCATCGTACGTTCCTCTCAGTCAGTCTTCTCCATTCACCATTCACACATGGAAGATAATACTCCCTAAATTATCATCCATATATATATAGTGCCTGGCTGCTTTCATGTATACTCATATGAACCTAGTTTGTCGATAAGGAAGGCTTTGAGGGCGTAGATGTTGTTAGGAGAGGCGAGGTCACCCTTCATCCCTTGGCAGTGGGTCCGGGCGTCTATCCAGCTCATTTTCTGGCGACCGATGTAGAAGCACTCGTCTAGCACAATGGAGTAGGGGTAGGGACAATGGGTAACTGGAAACAGGAAAAATAGTTTAATAATTATAAAATAATTTCTGGTTATATTTTCTATCGAGGAACTGTAATGATCTCGTCAATAAGCAACAAATCTGTAAAATGTAGGGAATTGTATTGTTCCTCACCCTCATCTATCCTCCCTCCCACTTTTCTCACAGATAAGTTTAGTGGTGTGACAATTCTCTCTTTTTTTTTTCTTTTTCGTCAACAATATCCGCACAAGTCTTCTGGCCCAGCTGTTACTCCCGTACTATGTGGTTCATTTAAGGTTGTGGCTTTAATCTTTCCCAGGAATTTAACAGTATATGTCTATTGTCTAGTACACTATGTCTACAATTCGCCTCATTCCTGGATAATTATCAGCATACAGTACAACCCATCCACAAAACAAAGGTACCCATCCTCACTCGGCCATCTAAAGTCATGGAATTTATATAGAAATAAATGTCACTGTAAAATGACCAAGCTCTGATTAAATGTCGAGGTTAGGTTAGGTTAGGTTAGGTTAGGTTAGGTTAGGTTAGGTTAGGTTAGGTTAGGTTAAATAGGTATCGTTCTCAATATATTAATACATTTTTTAATGAATGTCTCAGTATTACGATAGTAAGAGAGAGTTATACTGTTGAGTGATACATGTCTCTTGTTCATTCATTTACGTCATTAACTTTAATAAATATACATGATAAGAGTGTTAGAGTTTCCTTAGTGAATGAGCCGCACACATCACCTTGAGTCCGTAGGCAGCAGTTAGTACATGATGGAATTATTTCATCGTTTGATATAGATGGTTTAAAGCATACACGACCGAGGAAGAGTAAATCAGTTATACAATACATTACCGAGAAGCTTGTAGAAATATAAAGTAAAAATTTATTATAGAAAGAAAAACTATTAAACACATTTAGAGATGTATGTAAAGGAGAAAAAAACCCCGATAGTATTACCAAAGAAACATGCTGTAAATGAGTGGGTGAATCACGAGAAAAAAATGTCAACATACCATGATCGACTGCCTTAGTGACTTCTAAGTACTTGTTGATGGCGTTCGTCAATGCTGCCACCAAGGATCCGGTCATCGCCGTCGGTATCGAATCGGCGGACTCATTTGCCGTTGCGTTGGATTCTGTTGTTGCATCAGTTCCCTCTGTGGTGGCTTCTTTTGTCACACTAGATGCCGCCGTGGTGGCTTTTTTTGTCACACTAGGTGCCGCCGTGGTGGTCGTATTAATCACAGCACCCATCACCGCAGACGCCAGGAGGAGGACGTAGAGTATGACCATCGTGACGAACTACTGTATGTGCGTGTGGCAGCCACCAGACACTTCTCACGACACACTACTGACGGACCTCAACTGTGTGGAGAGAGAGAGAGAGAGAGAGAGAGAGAGAGAGAGAGAGAGAGAGAGAGAGAGAGAGGTCATCAACTCAATTACAATTTTGAGAATGTGTCACAGAGAAGAGAATATAGATGTAACAAAAAAAACTTTCCTCTTCTTTCCTAACTTCTATTTATGCCATAAGATTTTTCTAATGGCATATTTGACATTAAATGAGTACAGGTATTTATGATAATGAATCGTAACAGTAACAAATCATCCGAACATATTGAATTCCTTGTTGAAAGTCTCCAATGTAACCTGACTACAATACTGGCTCCGTAAGTAACTCTAGGAAATGTATTATTCACTGGTTTACAAATTTCAACCTCTTTCCCTGGAGTCTGTTGTACATCTCTCTTGAATGACATCACCGTCTTGTAGGGTGTAGTGGAGGCATCATAGCCGAGGGATCACACAAAGTCTACTGGGTTTTTAAGGTCGAGGGGCGTGTGCTTCAGTAAGTTGAGTGTGTACAAGGTGTATGGACTCCACCACATATGAGAAGGAGGGGTTGGGGGTACGTCGGAAGTAGTGAGTTGTACTGGCTGCGTCTACGGCTGCTGAGGACCTCGGGTGAGCGCCTCGCCTACACGCCGTTACAGCCTATCGCCTTAACTTTACCCGCATTTCCGCCAAATTCCGGCCCAGGCGACCGTTCGCTAAACTTTTCACTTAGTTGGGGACGCTGGGTGAATGCATGGCCGCGAGGGCACCAACTTTGTACCATTTCACTTACACCGTTAAAAAGTTTTAGAGCTGTGTTTTTTTGGGGGGGGGCCAGTAGGGGGGGGGCACCGGTAGTACATGCTGTATACATTATGGTCTCTGCTTTAAATACTTGGTCAATTTAGATATACGGAAAGAAAAACTGAAAAAAAGGAATAAACGATACTTGAATTAAGAGATACGAATGAAAGAATAAATTTGCGACACCATATATTAAACTAACTTTGTTGGTGAATTTTGAGTTTGATCAGACCTGCAGGTACTTCACTGCACCACAAAGGTCAACTTGTTCCTCCACCGTCACACGGGATATCAAAGGTCACACGTTATAGGGACTCTGAGCCACACGGGGCTGTTAACAATGATTGCTAACTTTTACTGCAGTGCGTCCTCGTCTGTGACTGATGAACTGAGTAAATACATTTAAAGTGAGTCTCTAACCTGTCATCTCGTATTTTATTTCTCGTTATTTCGTTAAAAATATTCCCTTCAGTACAAGGCAGCGATGTTTATCAAATATTAATGGCGACCAAAATGATGGATAATAATCGTTGCATTAAACCATACTCGAAAAAATAAATCACTCACGCTGAACATTATCAGTTTGGTCAGGAAAGATGTACACTTAGTTGACTTAACAAATCCAAATTTATCATGGTATATCTTTCACTACTTACGGAGAACCAATATGTATGTTAAAGTCGACAAATTCAAATATGAGAACACCTTAAGCTTCTTTTAGAGATGGGATCTTACCTTGATGATAGTTGGTGAGTGAGTGAGGAGGTGAGGTGAACTGTGGCTTTATACCAACAACACCTTGGCAACACCCATGATTGTTGTATTACGACACCAAACTCCCCATCTCCCTCTGGTGTTGGTAGCAGTGAGGTGACCTTGAGTTCATGTTATCCAAAGATGTTGTGAAACCTTAGCATAAAGGCAACGCTTAAGGTCTAACAACTCGCCAAGACACTGACTCCATCGATTCTCCTCTTCTTACGTCACTGTGCACTGTCAGATTACTTACAATTATACTGACAATTTCTATCGTTATAAAGAAAGCAATATTAAGGAGAGGAAATAGCGAATAATGATCAAGCTTCTCTTCACTCTCATTTAAATCATTTCCCTCTTTTAATCTTTCATTTTCCTCCTCTTTTCCTCATCTCCTTCTCATGTTTCCCTCTTCCGCATCTCCTTTCTCTTCCTTCTTTTCTCCCTAGTCCTCTTCATCTCCCTACTCCTCCCTCCTCTTTCTGTCTTCTATGTTCCTTCCCCAACTTTCCACTTCTCTCTCTCTCTCTCTTCCCCATCTCCCCTTTGTTCCCTGCTTGTTTCCATCTTTACTTTCTCTTCCTCAACTCCCTTGCTTTCTTTATCCCCTTCTCTTTATCATGATTTTTTCCATCGCCTCCTCAACTCACTTCTCTTCCCCCCTCGTCTAACCCATTTTCCTTCTCTTCCTTCTTACTCTCCCTTCTCCTTTCTGCTCTTCTCCCTTCTCTCTATTCGGGTTCGTTCTCTTTTCTTCCCCCTCCTCTTTTCTATTCGTGCTCATTCATTCTTACTTTTCTTTACTTCTTCTCTATTCGTGCTCATTCTCTTTTCTTCTTCTTCTTCTTCTCCCAGTTTCCTCTGCTCCTCCTCATCTCGTCTCTCAAGTTACGGTTATAAATATTGACAGGCTAAAAAAAACTATGGAAAAAGAAACATTGTCCTCGGTGTGTCGGCGCATCATCAGGTGGTAAGGCCAGCGTCTTCTTGCAGCCAAGTGAAGCCAAAGTTTAAGTTTTACACGCGAGAAAATTCAAAGGAAATTTTAAAAGATGAGATGACTTTTACACAACTTTGACCTGGGAGGATTTTTGTTTTTTTATTATTTTGAACATGGACAGTTTAAGATATGCGAGAGAATTTTATTTATTTTTTATTTATTTTTTATGAACGATAAGATCTCAAAGAATGTATGCATATATATGTGTGTGTGGGTGGGTGGATGGGTGTTGTGTGTGTGGGTGGGTGGATGGGTGTTGGTGTGTGTGGGTGGGTGGATGGGTGTTGGTGTGTGTGGGTGGGTGGATGGGTGTTGGTGTGTGTGGGTGTGGATGGGTGTTGGTGTGTGTGTGGGTGGGTGGATGGGTGTTGTGTGTGTGGGTGGATGGGTGGGTGTGTGTGGGTGGGTGGATGGTGTGTGTGTGGGTGGGTGGATGGGTGTTGGTGTGTGTGTGGGTGGGTGGATGGGTGTTGGTGTGTGTGGGTGGGTGGATGGGTGTTGGTGTGTGTGGGTGGGTGGATGGGTGTTGGTGTGTGTGGGTGGGTGGGTGCTAATTTAGGATTATTCTTAACATCTTCACTATAATAATGGATAATATCAAGAGAACGTGTAAAGTTATAAGACACAAACAAAACACAAACTCATCACCTCATTACCATAATATTTGTGATAAATAAAAACATCCGTAAACACTCCAGTTGGTCTTTATTTTTCTCTCCATACTTTAAAACCGAACAAATTCTACCTCAGTCTCGTTAATCCGGTAATAAAACTCGGGAAACAACTGCGGGTCCGGATTTCTAAAGTTTCCAGCGATAGTTTATTCCCCAACTAGGTAAAAATAGAACCCCTTTGTTTACAATGAATATATAGTTGAATGTTGGGATTATTTTTACCAAGTTAGGTTCATTCTCCCGTTCACCAAATAGAGACGTGTTCAGTAATTCTCAATGTCAATTAAAACGGTCACACTAGCCGCTGTAATATTTTGTTGCTGATCGAGAATCTAAGTAATATTTCTTTAACTCTTACGATCTTTACGTGCTGAGGTAGTAGTAGTAGTAGTAGTAGCAGTAGTAATAAAATGGCGGCGAAGGTGTGGCTATTGGGGGAGGCTGGAGGCCACGTTTAAAAAAAAATAAAGGGCAGGAGTAGTGGGTGTCGTCAGGGTGACTAGTTGCAAAGCACAGCAAAAACTGTATCAATATTCTCTGCAACACAATCAACATTTCGCTTTCGTCCTTCAACACTTGTAAATATTTTTCATCTTTATATCTATGTTTACATCACATCTCATCTCCTTGTCATCCCTCATTGTGAGTATCTCTCTCTCTCTCTCTCTCTCTCTACTGTAAATACCTATCCACCCAAAGGGAGAATATAACGACACGCAGAGCCTTCAGTGCAACAAGAAAACTATTTCGAAACAAACTTCGTTGAAAGAGAAGCATATTTGGTAAAGACATCCCCCGGAATGGCCAAAAAGTTGGGGATAATGGTAATAATCTAGGAACATTAGTGGGCGTTTAACACTTAGCCGCTGGAAGACAGGATATGAGCATCTTATCTCGGGGAAAATCAGGGGAGAGAGAGAGATAGAGAGAGAGAGAGAGAGAGAGAGAGAGAGAGAGAGAGAGAGAGCATACTGAACACATAATATATCCGTGTCAGTAGAGGTCTCGAACTCTTCACATGATTGACCCCTCTCCCCCGTCCACCACCCACTTACTATAAGGTCAAAGGTCACTGAATATCTCATCATCGTTTTCTCTGGTCACATGAACCTTTCCTTAATGGACTGTTTTAATACCATATAAAGTTAACTCCCTCGGACTACTGCCCTGTGAGGCGTCTGGTGGCTTAGCTCATGTAATATCCGTCAACGAGTAAACAGGAAGAGATTACCGGCCTTAATGATCTCTCTCTCTCTCTCTCTCTCTCTCTCTCTCTCTCTCTCTCTCTCTCTCTCTCTCTTTCTCCGTTCCATCTTCCCAACGTTTCATTTTACTTCCGTTTCACACTTCCTCCGTCGATTTGCTCTCCATCTGTTTCTCTCTTGTTCCTGTTTCAACCTTCTGCTATTTCTCTGTCCTTCTATTTTACCTTCCCTCTTGTCTCATTTTCCTTCATTTCACTCTCCTTTCTTCCATTCCTTTTATGTTGTATTAATTACGTTCCGTCACCCTCTCAGAGACGTGAGGGTGACGTGGGGGAAGCGTGAGGAGGCGTGTGGGGGACGTGGCGTGAGGTGGAGTGGAGGTCGTGGTGGGAGGCGTGGGGGACGTGGTGGGAGGCGTGGGGGACGTGGTGGGAGAGGCGTGAGGAGAGGCATAAGGACAGCTTCCTCCATGGTGCACCCCAAATCTACCCAACTGTGAATGTGTACAATAACTTTACAGTCTGGGAAGTGAAGGCGGTCGAGAACAATTCTTGCTATATTGCCTCCTTGTGTACCAGAGGCAGATC